GGAAAGATTTTTACCTTTAGATGGGTCTTATGATGTCAGTTGAGGAAAGTGTATTAGCTTTGGTTTGGGTGGATGTAAGTGTAGTCTCCATCCAGTCTCTTCCACTGTAATCAATGTCAGTGAAGCCTGCAAGTGTTTCTGTTGCCTAGGCCTGGAAGTTTGTGGTGACAATAGTGGTAAGAATAATGTTAAAGCTCTTGATGGCAAAGGCTTTGAACTTTCAATATGAGATGATTTCCAATAGCTCAGGCTCAGGGAGCAGGGATATAGCAGTAACTCTGATCCTGAGAGTTAGCATGTAGCTCCAGGATCATACCACTCCAGGGATAAAAGGGTGTTCTAGAGAGTCAGGCTCTGAGGAGCAGAGCAGAGATGCCATTTGAGTTTCAGAGTCAGTAAAACATGGTGGCACCTTAGAAACCAGGAGAAAGGGTACCACATAGGTGACTCTAAACCCTGAAGTGGTGGGACATAGGTAGCCCAGACTCTGTGAGGCCCAGTACAGTGTCAGCAAGGACCCCAGAATTGTGGGGTGTAGCTATGACTTTAGCATCAAGGAATGGGTAGCAGTGCAATTCTGGCTTCACTACCAAAAGTGGTGGTCTGTTTCCTCACCTCCAATTCTGGAGAGTTGGCCCATATCCAGGGAGGCAGGGCACTGCATCTGTTTAGCCACTTAGCCAGGGTGTTGGGGGAGAGAGTCATACAGATTATCAAAGGCTGTTTCCCAGGCAAGATGCAGATTCTGTCTTTCCCAGGTTGGCCTTAGGCTCGTGATCCTTCTGCCTCAACCTCCTACGTAGGTGAGATTAAAAGTGTGTGCCACCACACCCAGATTTTAAGACATTTTTATTAGAATATCTAAATTTATTTTAGAAACATCTGTTGAAGGTATTGCAGTTTTTTTTTTTTTTGGAGAGATTTTCACTGTAGGGCGCGTGCGCTCGCCAGACAGACAGAGAGAGACATAGAGACAGAAAGCGAGAAATCACCCCCCGGGGGGATGGTCACGCCGCAATCCCTTCTCCTCCATTCTCCTCTCGGGATCTTGGGCACGCACGCACACGCGCCCGGCATGAGTTTTTAAGCCACCGGGTCCGGGACACGAACCGCGGTCGACTACGTGGGAGTCCAGCGACATAGCCATTACGCTAATTGCTGGTTCCCCAGTTTTTCTTTTTTGATTGTCGTCATATTCCATAATTTTCTAATGTGGCTATAGTAGCAATAGCTTGGGATATCTGAATTATGGACTGACTTTCTCTTGGTTGTTAATATTGGAAAGTATAACACTTTAGAAAATATCAAAATTGCATAATATTAAGCCAGTAAAAAAAGACTAAAATAATTAATGTGTAAAGCAGTATGTGACAAGCAGTGGTTTCAGGCACATGGAGTAATCTAGTTCTAGGTGGAATATATTCATTTAAAAAGAGATCTTTATGTTGTAAAAGCCTTGGGTCTGCAGTTAATTTTTATATAATATCCTTGTTTAGATGTTCTCTGAGAACATCATTATATTTCTAATTGACATAACTTGTTCATTGTTTTCCTCATGGGGAATGGTCACAGTCCCTTCTCCTCCATTCAGGATTTTGGGCACACACACGTACGTGCCTGGCATGTTTCAGGCTGCTGAGTCTGAGACTTGAACTGTGGAATCTCCTATGTGGGATTTAGTTCCTATAACCACAGGTATGAGTTGGTTCTTCACTGATGAGTTCTAAGAAAATATCCAAATAAAAATTACAATCAAACTTATTTTATTAGGCCAGCAATACCTTGATATCAAAGACACCAGAAAACTTTAGATCAATATATTCCTGTTGGACAAAAATGCAAAATTCCTAACAAAATATTTGTAATTCAACAGCAAATTAAAAAGATCATATGCAATGACTATAGAGGATTTATCCCTGGGATGCAAAGATAGTCCAGCATTTGCAAATCAATCAACTTGACACACCATGTTAGCAGAATAAAAGATTAAAAACACATGATTATATCAACAAATATATTTTAAAAATTTGACAAAAGTCAGCATTCTTTTATGATAAAAGCACTCCATCAACTTCAACAAGAAGAGAAGAAATTTACCCCAATATAATAGAGGCCATATGTAAAAAAGTCATACTCAACAGTGAAAAACTAAAAAAGTTTTCCCTTTAAGGTCAGGATGACTGCTATTCTGCCTTACTCCTTAGTGTTTATATAACATTATTAATATGTTTTATTTTTATATTAATAGGTGATCACTTTAATGTATGCTTCACAAAAGACCTAGGCTTTCTTTAGTATATGTCAAAAATGCTTAGAACAGTGCCTAGCACAGGGAAGGCAACCACATAATATCTATGCTGTTGTCCGAATGAGGAAATAGTTCATAATTTGACACATCTGTTCTGTGCAGCCAGCCTGAGAAATTACTATCAAAAAGCAGGACAACTTTGGCTCATTTAGTCTTCACTACTACTACATTCAGTCCATAGAATTTTCAAGAACACAATTTTTTAAAAGAAAAGTACACCAGTCAGTAGACTAGGTGTAACACAACTGGACCTACATAGAAAGATCTTTAGTTCAGATCCCAGGACTTCCCTGAGTAGTTTAGGCAGACACATGTCCATGGTCTGGGCTGACTGAGACTGATGGTGGATTGCAGCATTAAGATTTGTTGGGGTCCCTGCATCTCAATCTCTGTCTTGGTCTTTGTCTTTCTCTCATGGAAGATAAAAACGTTGAAAACACCAGAAGGTGGTGTGGTGGTTAAGGCACTGAATTCCCACATGGTCCGGCAGCAATTTGAGTCCCGGGCCCAGTGGCTTGAAAAACATATCAGGCACATGTACATGTGTGCCTAAATTACTGAGGGGGGAAATGGAGAAAAAGGGAATGCAGCAAGGTCATCCTCCCATGGGATGAGTACTTACTTCCCCCTCTCTTTCTCTCTCTGATGAGTGCATGCACACTTTGGCAAAAAAACAAAACAAAACAAACAAACAAAAAAAAAACAAAGAAAAGAGAAACTCTTTAAAGGAAAAATAAAGGAAACAATAAGAGAAAAAAAAACCTTCAGTATTCATTTAAAAAGTCATATAAATGTGCTGTATCAGTTTAGGTGAGTATTTGTCAGTATTGATCTATCTCTTTGTGTCTCCCTACTATCCTCTTTCCATGCCTTCTAACTAGTGGACTTCCATATATTAACTTCTACAATCTAAAATAAAATGTATTTATAGTGTGATGATTGTGGGAGCAAAAATTAATCTGACTTTAGGAAGACAATGATATTTTCACTTTCTTGGGATGATAGTGGAAGAAAATGCTACAACTAATTAGTATTTCCCTTAATAACTAACTCAGGTGTCATATACACATAGTATCATATATTTATGCATGTAATATGTTAATATGGTTATTAAACAAATATTTTTAAAAAGCCAGTGACAGAATCACTCCAAATACCTACTGAAGAGATAGAAAACATTTTGGCTGCTAAATAAAGAGGTCATAGAAAAAGAGAGGGAGGGACCAGCAGCTGGTATAATGTCTGGATTCCCACGTAACTGGGTGTGGTTTGAGTCTTGGACCTGCCCACTTAAAACACACACTGGTTGCATGTGCATGTGTGCCCAAAATGCCAAGAGGAGAATGGAGAAGAAGGGATTGTGATGTGGCCATCCTCCCTGGGAGTTGATTTCTCACTTTCTGTCTCTCTCTGTATCTCTGGTGAGCACATGTGCCTGATAGCAAAAATCTCTCTTAAAAAAAAAAATGGAAAAAGAGAGGGAAAAAAATGAAGAGAAAGATTTTACTCCCTACATGATACCACCAAGTCTCAGCAAAACTGGCAAGATCTGCCCACGTGTGAAATAATGTTCCAGGAGAAGAGCAAAGGGTAGCATGTAGCTAAACAAAATGTGTCACTGAGACCCAGAAGTATAGGACATTGAACAAGGCCAGGAGGCACTACAGGAAGATGGCCATGCCAGGTGTACTAAACCAAAAAAGGAATTTACTCTCTGGGACCGTGGCGGTCCTCATGCCCATTCACACTGTTTCCAGAGAGCCCAAACATCATTCAATTCATGAACACCGATTAAAATTTATTTTCTTTTTGCCCACTGTCCACTCCTCTAGTCATATACACAGCCCATCCAGCCCTGTCTTGTGCTCAGAACCAGCTTCACAGAGGCACACAGTGCCACTGGTTCCAGCTACAGGGCAGTAGGATATGACCTAGAGTGTGGCTCATTTTTTGTATGATTTTGTTGGCTTTGTCCGTATGGTTATATGTGGGAAAGCCAAGTTTGTCCAAAGCCTGGATGTGGGTATAGAGAGCATAGGAGCTCAGACCCTGACCTCGATACTCAGGCACGGTGGCCCCCATCCGCACCTCCCCAGACTGGTCCATCAGGGACCAAGACACAGGGGTCCCCTCTGGCCCCAGCAGACAGAAGTTGGGGAAGGTCTGGATGCAACGCTCAATGAATCTCTGGCCTCTCTCGTTGCCTCCAAAATGCCAGAATTTATTCACCAAGGCAGCGTGGGTAACATCCAGGGATGAGTGTTTAAACATATCTCGATTGCTGTTGAGAACAAGGGAAAAGAAGAATCCTTAATGTCACACATACTATGAAGTACAATATCTGTTTTCCCAAGCTGTCTTGAGAGGCAAGAAAATAACCTGTGTAGCCAGACTGCTGGGGCTTGGAGTCTAACTAGTTGTGTGGTCCTAGGAAGTAACTTAGTGTCTTTTTGACTCCGTATTTTCTCACAATACATGGGAAATATTAATAGCTTCTCTGTCGAAAGACAGACATAAATATTAGAAAAACTTTTGAATGACAAGTACGAAGGGCCGTATCACAAAAAAATAATAATAATAAAAATGAAGTATTGTCCTTCTCAATATTGTTATGACCCTCCAAGTAAAATGCATCAGTGGTATTAACCCTGTTTTATACATTAGACAAATGGGTAAGTGGAAAATCAATAAGTGCCCTAAAGCACATGTTAGTAAAGGAGTAAAGCCAATGCTTAGAATAATGGAATCTGAGGATACTGAGGTCAGAGATTTTGTTGCCACTATACAGAACAAATGAGAGAACTCAAGTCCAGAGAGGGGCAGCAGAGTGGAGTGCAGACAGCACTGGGACAGAACTGAAGTCTGAGAGCTCCTGCAATGACGTAAAGGGCTTCAGGAGGAATCCTGGAAATGGTCCAGGATGTGGAATTGGAAGCTCTGGACTCAAGCCCCACTTAGGTCCTGAACCATCCACATGGTGAATAAACCACCTCATCATCAGAGCCTGCTTTCTGTCAGGAAAATGGGGATGATGTCTCCTATGCTACCTATCTGGTAGGGTGGACAAGAGGCTCCAATGAGATGCTAGATGTGAGATGCTTTCCAGGTTGTAATGTACTTCATGATGTGTGTGTGTAGTTTGGGTTTTTTTTTTTTTGTTTGTTTGTTTGTTTGTTTGTTTTGAGAGGTTTTTGCCATGGTGCGTGCGCTCGCCAGACAGACAGAGAGAGAAAGAGAGACAGAAAGTGAGAAATCCCCCCCCCAGGGGGATGGCCACGCCACAATCCCTTCTCCTCCATTCTCCTCTTGGGATCTTGGGCACGCACGCATATGCGCCTGGCATGAGTTTTAAGCCACCGGGTCTGGGACATGAACCGCGATCGACTACATGGGAGTCCAGCAACATAGCCATTACGCTAACTGCTGGTCCTGACTGTTTCTTTCTGTCTCTCTGGCAAGTGTACATGCCCTATAGCAAAAAAAGAAAAAAAAAAAACTCTAAAATAAATTATGATGGAGGCTTCAAACAGACAGGTAGGTAAAAACACAATTGAGCTGATTTAAGATACTGATGAGTGCAACAAAGAAAATAAAAATTGGGTTCTATAGTGACAGATTATGGGATAAGTGGTTTTCGGGAAGGGTCTCTGAAAAGACTGTTAAAGGAAATGAAATCTGAGAATATGAATGGCAAAAAGAGGAACAATATGTGAAGATCAGAGGAAGGACATTTTAAGGAGATAAAGAACACTTACAATGACCCGAAGGCATGTATGCATGTATGAAAATGAAGTAGCAGAAAGAAGTTCATACCTGTGATGACATTGTGCAAGAAAGACAAGATGAAGTCCAAGTGGTGATGGGTGCAAGTCTTGTAGGGCCTTAAAGGCCCATAAAAAATGGTTGGATTTTATTCAGGGTGATCTAAGAAATACTGGTTGCTTTTAAGCAAATGAATGACAATAGTCAAGTTACATACTAAAATGATCATCCTGGAAATCAACTGTGGGGAGTAAGGATAAGTGTGGGGAGAGAAGTTGGAAGGCTACTTCAGTAGTGAGAAATGTGTGTAGAGCCCACCATCTTTTATCACACTCACATGGCCTTGGGTCTGCCAGGTTTATGATCTAACTCCTGCAGTAGGAGTGGAATTAGTTTCTTTGCTGTCTTAGGCATTATATAGAGAAGGCATTGTGCTCTCTTCACCTGGACCAATTTTGCAGATGCAAGACTTTGTATCACCTCATCCAGGCTGGACTGTGAACCTAGAGGGAAGTGAGGGAGAGAAGAAATCGCACATCAAGAAATTGCCCAATGGATGTACACAGCCAGAGTCCTGTTACAGGTGTTGCCACACACTGTGTGACCATGGCCAAGTTGCTCTCTGAGTATATTTTCTCTTATACAAAAACCTAAAGATAATCCTATAATTCCTGATTATTTCTCTGTGAAGTCAAAGGAGAAATTTTTTTTAATGCTAGCGATTATGTGCATATGTATGAGAGAGAACAACACCCCAAATAGTGCTTGGTCACCCCACAATCCCTCTCCTGCACATATTTCATCCCATCAGGATACAGGACATGCATGCCTATACCCAGTATATTTCAAGCCAGCATGGTTGGGACTTGAACTCTATTGGACACCTGGGATCTGGCTTCTTCTGCACAGACTTGTATTAGGGCACCACCATAGAAGTGGTAGCCAGGCCTGATTGGGTGGGGTGGTGGTAATACTGCTTAATGGACGCTGAACCACCAGAAGATTGTGAGTTTACATCTCTGGTTGTCCTGTACATATCAGGCATGTGCACTGTGATCCTGGCTGGCTAGCAAGGCTGGGGACAGGAGGAGTGTGAGAACCTATTGAGAGTGTTTGACTCTGTGTCTCACTCTCATAAAAGAAAGAAATAAACTTAAAGAAAAAGTTGTAGCTAACCTTATTACCATTATGTCACCAAGTCAGCCCTGGTTACTTTTTTTTTTAAATCCATTTCTCCTTTCATTTCATGGTGATGTATTCAGGATTTCTAGTAGTATCTCTATTTTGAGTAATACAAAATCTAGCACATGCTACATGCCCAGGTATTGGTCTAATATAGCATATAATGCTTACATTGACCCTATGTGTTAGGGTCTTTTAATATTCTTTATTTTTATTTGGAAACTGAGTAATAGATAAATTACTTACTCAAAATCACAAAACAGTAACAGAGTGAGCATGCCACCCTAGGAAGTCTTACTCCAGAGGCATGCTCATAGCCACAGCCGTTGGTGGTGGTGGTGGTCTGGGAGGTGTTCTGTGGCACAATGAGCTGTCATTCCTATTCCAGGAATGGAAGGTCAAAGGACAAGTTCTGCTCTTAAATCCAGTTGTCTTAAGGAAATCTTAATATGTCTGGAAAATTGATCATGAATCCTCAGCTAACAAGAAATTACATTACTCAAAGTTCCTTATGTAAATCCCATAGTTTGTACAATTTAAATTCTACTATACTGTAGAGGTAATGGAAGCTGACATATGAAATAAACACCAAACTGAGAGTCTTGACCCTAAAGATGTAGATACGGGTTAGTCCCAGAAGGCAAAACACCTCCCAGTCTCCTTACTTTGGATCTGTAAATGTTGTTTCCAATTGATGACATCTGATATGCCAAGGAATTCTTGACAGTTCTTGGGGTCTTTAGAATAGATTTGGTAGGTGTTGATATAGTGATCAAAGTCGTCTGTCATCTCCTGTTTGGTTGAGCAATATGGAATAAGTCAAAATTGCTTATACCAAGTGATTATAATATTTGTATTTAGTATTTCACTATACTGTGCTCATTTATAAGTTCAAGTATAGATATTTTTCTTGATGCATTATCATTATTTCAGAATTATGTATATCACGAAGCCAAATCAAGGGATCAATTATATAATTTATTTTTCAAAAACTTATTGAACCAAATATTTACATATTGCATTAAATTTCAAGTGAACCAAACATATACTGGTTTACAAAGTATTCTTGTATAATCCTGTACTCTTAGGGGGAAAAAAAGAAGAGCATTGTCAAAAGCAAGCTTCTGTTGCAAGAATAATTCTTATTTTATGTAAAAGAGCCTCCAAACACATGCATTATGAACATAACAGTATTGAAATGGACACAGGTAGTCTTGTATTAGAATTTTCATTTACACATGATAAAGCTATACAAAATAAATATATATGGATGTGTTTAAAGTGTAAACCACAATGCACTATTGTTTTTTAAAAAAAGAATATGGAAGATTTACTGCTGAGTGAAGCAAGCCAGGCTATGAAGGAGAGACATTGTATGTCCCCACTTATACACTGAGTGTCCACACTCTATGACTGAAAATGATTGACTAAAGGATGTACAAACACAAGAGATGGGTGTGAATGCCAGATGTGGGGTGTGTGGAGGAGTGGGGTTTGGGGAAGGACATTTGGAGGAGGAATACGGAGGCAGAGAATTGGGACAGGGAGGTGTGGTGTTATCTGTTGAAGATATTTTGATCTACTGGATTAGGGAAAAATGTTCATACATTCAGATGTTCATTTTGTGAGCTAAATAATGTGATTGAATGTATAAAAAATTTTAAAATAAATAAATTAATTAAATAAAAATAAAAATGAAATATACCAAAAAGAAAAAAAAAAACCCAACTCCTCACCCCCCCAAAAAAGTCTGCATTCCCAGCAAAATTAAAAGAAAATTTGTTCAAAGGGGTATCAAAGTTAACAAGTAAGAGATGGGATTATTTGGTCCAGCTCTGATAGTGCAGAGGTGGCACACTGCTCCATGATGTTGGAGCCATCTGGAAGATTGGAGTTGAGTTCCTGTGTCTACCTATACACACTGGTGGATGTGCAGGTGCCCATGATCCTGGATGACTGGAAAGGCTGAGGGTGAGATCATGGAGAGAACCCACTGAGGGTGCTTGTCTTTCTTCCTACCTCCTCACCTGAAATAAATGTATAAACTTAAATAAACAAATAGATGGAATTTACTTGAAAATGAATATAATTACTCAGAATAGCTAGAAAAATTTAAATAGAAATACACTCACAACTCAGCAATAATACCACTGAAAATCTGTGATCACATTCAAATAACAAATACGGTGCTGTCTTTGTCCATTAATGTGTCACTAACAAAAATTACTGAGTGTTTTATAAAGAAGTAGAAATTTATTTGACTCATGACTCTGGTGGCTGGAAAGTCCAAAGGTATAGGGCTGGCATCAGGTCAGCCTATATCACAGCACAGTGACAGAAAAAGAAAAGACCATGTGCAGACAGACCATGGTCTGTGTTCCATGTTAGTCTCTATTTTTCCACGTCCTCTTCTTATAAACCCACCACGGCTCAATCATGGTGACTACTAATACCCAGTCATTATTCTCCTTTCAAAGGCCATAACACTCAACCATTAATCTCCTTCCAAAGGTTCGCTTCGACATAATAATTGCATCAAGTTTTCATTCTCTAAAATTCCATTATAATGGCTCAATATATGAATGTTCAGGGAACATATTCAAATCATGAAAAATATTATTTCTTTTTTCATTTTAATGATTAACATAAAATTCTTTATTTTTGTATTCAGTTTTTTAAAATAAATTTTATTGTGTATATTAAGGTACAAAACTTGTTAATAGGATACATATAAATAGTAAAATAATTGCTATGTGAAGAAAATTAGTATATCTATCAGCTCACAGTATCTTTTTATTTTTTTTTTGGCAGAGACAGTTAAAATATACTCATTTAGTGGGAATTCCAAATATAATTTTAGTACCAATAGTCCTCCTACTGTACATCAGATATCTAGATTTATTAAACCTACATATCTGCTACTTTATAGTCTATGACTTAATATCCCTATCTCACTCCCTCTCTATATCCAGTCCCTGAAACCATTATTTTATTCTCTATCCCCATATATTTGACTTTTTATCTTATTTTAGATTCCACATATAAGTGAGATCATGCAGTATTTTTCTTCTGTTTCTTGCTTATTTCTCTTAGCATAATATCTTCTAAGTTTATCCATGTTGTAAGTGACGGGATCTCCATCTTTTTATAGTCTGAATACTATTCCTGTGTGTGTGTGTGTGTGTGTGTGTGTGTGTGAGTGTGTATGCAGGCAAGTGTGTGCATGCATGTGTGCATCACAGTTTCTTTATCTATTCCTCCTTCAATGAACATTCAGGTGGCTTCAAATCTTGGCTATTGTGTGTATGCTGCAATGAATATATGAGTGGAGATCTATTTACCAAGTGGTGATTTTATTTTCTTTGCTTATATGCCCAGAAGAAGATTGCTGAGTCATACTGTAGTTCAATTTTTAATTTCTCCAGAAACGTCTATATTGTTTTTCATAATGACTGCAACAAGTAACATTTATTTCAACAGTGTTCAACAATTCTCTTTTCTTCACACTCTCACCAACATTTGTTTTAAAGTACTCTCTGTTCTTGTGAGCCTATCAGATCCTATTTATCTTCAAGATCTATTTGGGTAAAATGTCTATCAGAAAGACTTTTTGATCTTTCCCTGACCCCTTGACATCTCTTTTTTGTTTGTTTGTTTGTTTGTTTTATATCCAGCTTTTAATATTTAATTCAGGAATTCCCTAATGGGAAATAAATAGTTCAGGATACCCAATGATTTGCATGTTACATACTTGTCAAGAAATATGCAGGGCAGGAATCACTTTCATTTCCTTGTTTCATGTTATTTTTTTTCCAAAACTTTGGTTACATATGTATTTCTTTCCAGTGTCTCAACATTTTTAAAAATGTTCTATTATTATTATTATTTATACATTCAATTATTATACATCATTTAGATTGCAAAAAGACTTTACCCAGCATGATATACACCTCTGGTTTTAATCATCTCTCTGCCATGCTACTTCTATATCTTGAAACATAATCTTAAAATAAAAGCATAAATGTTGTTTAAACAAGAAACAATACCTAAAATAAGAATATAAATGTTCTTGTACATTTTTACACCATGTTGGAATTTATCTGTTCATCTGTGTTTTCCTCAAGTCCTTTCCTTCAAATTCCTTGAAGATAAAGACTTGTTGACCATTACTAGGATTCATTTCTATTTTCCAGGATCTATCAGATTGCCAGGTACATAATGGATGCACAGAAAATATGAACACAAAGGTAAATTAATTCTGTATCTGGCACCTTACCTGCTCCTGAGGGCGGATAACCACTGTATTAAAATCAGGCCATTTATCCACCAGGGCCTTTAGCTTGAAGGGATTTCCCTGGTTCATGTGGAAGACGGTCCCATAAACCTATTGGATTTCAACAAAGAGTCAGCACATATGAAGGGATGGTAAATGTTTTGTGTCTGACCTGGACAAGGCATGTTTCTATGAAATTGGGGTAAATAACTAATAGGGCATCTAGTTCAAACAGTCTGAATTTCTATTTTATTACCCCAAATAAAAATAACTTTTGGTGTCAAGTCATGAGAATATCATATAAATGCAGTTAAATATACAGATAAGTCAAATGAACAAATGAACAATTGTAGAATTTAGTATTATAATCTTTCCTTCCATTTATTTACATATACACATAATTTTATAAACAATGAAATTACCTAATATATAGTAGTTTATCATCTATTTTTCCAAACAATGGCATATTTTCACCTCAATAAACACAAATATACATAATCATGATTAATGACCGTATGATCCCATTGTATAGAAATCCTCTAATTTAATTGTCCTACCTCATATTGTCAACCATTATAGTTTTCTCTGATTTTTTATCTTAAGTTAATTTTTTTTGTTTGTTTGGGAGAGTTTTTTTTTTTTTTTTTTCCATAGGGTGCGTGCACTCACCAGAAAGAGAGAGACAGAGAGACAGAAAGCAAGAAATCACCCCCAGGGGGGGTGGCTACGCCACAATCCCTTCTCCTCCATTCTCCTCTTGGGATCTTGGGCACGCACGCACATGCACCTGGCTCTTTCCCTGACCCCTTGACATCTCTTTTTTGTTTGTTTGTTTGTTTGTTTTATATCCAGCTTTTAATATTTAATTCAGGAATTCCCTAATGGGAAATAAATAGTTCAGGATACCCAATGATTTGCATGTTACATACTTGTCAAGAAATATGCAGGGCAGGAATCACTTTCATTTCCTTGTTTCATGTTATTTTTTTTCCAAAACTTTGGTTACATATGTATTTCTTTCCAGTGTCTCAACATTTTTAAAAATGTTCTATTATTATTATTATTTATACATTCAATTATTATACATCATTTAGATTGCAAAAAGACTTTACCCAGCATGATATACACCTCTGGTTTTAATCATCTCTCTGCCATGCTACTTCTATATCTTGAAACATAATCTTAAAATAAAAGCATAAATGTTGTTTAAACAAGAAACAATACCTAAAATAAGAATATAAATGTTCTTGTACATTTTTACACCATGTTGGAATTTATCTGTTCATCTGTGTTTTCCTCAAGTCCTTTCCTTCAAATTCCTTGAAGATAAAGACTTGTTGACCATTACTAGGATTCATTTCTATTTTCCAGGATCTATCAGATTGCCAGGTACATAATGGATGCACAGAAAATATGAACACAAAGGTAAATTAATTCTGTATCTGGCACCTTACCTGCTCCTGAGGGCGGATAACCACTGTATTAAAATCAGGCCATTTATCCACCAGGGCCTTTAGCTTGAAGGGATTTCCCTGGTTCATGTGGAAGACGGTCCCATAAACCTATTGGATTTCAACAAAGAGTCAGCACATATGAAGGGATGGTAAATGTTTTGTGTCTGACCTGGACAAGGCATGTTTCTATGAAATTGGGGTAAATAACTAATAGGGCATCTAGTTCAAACAGTCTGAATTTCTATTTTATTACCCCAAATAAAAATAACTTTTGGTGTCAAGTCATGAGAATATCATATAAATGCAGTTAAATATACAGATAAGTCAAATGAACAAATGAACAATTGTAGAATTTAGTATTATAATCTTTCCTTCCATTTATTTACATATACACATAATTTTATAAACAATGAAATTACCTAATATATAGTAGTTTATCATCTATTTTTCCAAACAATGGCATATTTTCACCTCAATAAACACAAATATACATAATCATGATTAATGACCGTATGATCCCATTGTATAGAAATCCTCTAATTTAATTGTCCTACCTCATATTGTCAACCATTATAGTTTTCTCTGATTTTTTATCTTAAGTTAATTTTTTTTGTTTGTTTGGGAGAGTTTTTTTTTTTTTTTTTTTTTTTTTGGGGGTAAAAATGCCATAGGGTGCGTGCACTCACCAGAAAGAGAGAGACAGAGAGACAGAAAGCAAGAAATCACCCCCAGGGGGGGTGGCTACGCCACAATCCCTTCTCCTCCATTCTCCTCTTGGGATCTTGGGCACGCACGCACATGCACCTGGCGTGAGTTTAAGCCGCCGAGTTCAGGACTCAAACCACAGTTGACTACATGGGAGTCCAGTGACATAGCCATTATGCCAACTGCTGGTCCCTTAAGTTAATTTTTCAATGAACATTTTTAATGTAATTATTTGTAAATATGACTATTATTGGAAAATTTAGGAGGGGAGTTCTTGTGTCAAAGTTCAATTATTATTTAAAGATATCCCTCCCCTCACATATATATACAAATTACTTTTTGGAAAGGTTAAATGAGTTCAGTAGTGAATGTTTACCAAAAATATTGATATCTGAATTTACTCATTATACCAGCAAGTACACCAAGACTCAGAGTTGTTTAACTTTTGCAATGTTACGTAACAAACAGTGAGTTTATTGAATCAAAGCAGTATGACCCCAAACTTTGCTCCCTTAACAGCTTCCCTGTGTTACTTTAGTCACAAGATCAGTGATTTGGAGTCATACTAAGTCACTGTGGCTTAGTCCTATACAAGGTGCCACAGCATCTAAATCAGCAAAACACATCATGTTAGAACATTCCTACCTGATTTTTATTGCCATGATCAGTGTAATAACTGTACTACATACGTCACCCTCATGTTGCTTTGGGGAGTCCAGATATGTGATTCATTAGTGGAAGAATATTTAAGCTAACCTAAGGGCTTTTTCTGTTTTTAGTGCTATTTTAAGTAGTACTTTAGTTATTCATTTCATGAGAGTGAGAGATAGAGAGTGACAGAGGAAGGTCTCATGTTGCCTTTCCTTCCTCCACATGCATGCCAACCCTTCCTGGCCAGCCAAGATCATGGACATGTACGTCCAGATTGTGTAAGTTGACCTGGGAACCAGACTTATGGCCTTTCTGTATGAATACAGCATTGTTGGATAGCCCATTAGCACTGTACCAGTGTGGCTGGCCCAATGGTACTCATTTTTCATTTTGAATTCCAATTGGAATTTCTAGTACATACAAAGAAAATCAGTTTTTATATTTTGTCAATAGGCATTTAAGTTTGTGAACTTGCTAAACTGACATTTTGTATTGGGAAGGTTTTTTGTTTTTTTGTTTGTTTGTTTTCTTTTTTTAAGACTCCTTGGGATTTTCTACATTAGACAATCATGCCACCTGTAATGGACACTATTCTGTTTTTTACTTTCAAAGATGTGTTTCTAGGCCAACCAGGCAGTATGGTGATTATGGTGACTGGGATGATTCTGAGGTTTGAGTCTCAGACTCAGTGACTTGAAAAACACACAGGGTGCATGTGCATGAGTACCCCAAATCCAAGAGAATGGAGGAGAAAGGATTATGGTATGGTTACCTCCCATGGGGGGTGCTTTCTCACTTTCTCTCTCTCTTTCACTCTCTCCTCCCAGGGAGTACATGCACCTTGTAGAAAATTTTTAAAAATAAAATAAAAAGAGCTTGGGGGGTATTCCTGTGGTCTTAGTTGTAAGGCTGAGACAGGAGTGAGACTTGAAAAAGATAATTGTGAGACACTGTCTTTAAAAAACAAACATACAGGGCTAGCAGGTGGTGCAGTGGTTAAGGTACTGGCCTCCCACATGACCGACCATGGTTTGAGTCCCAGACCTGGCAACTTGCTTTCTCACTTTCCCTCTCTCTCGCTCTCTGTAAGTATCTCACTGGTCAAATCAAATAATAATAATAATGATAACAAATAAAATAAATAATTCCTCTAAAAAAAACAAAAACTAAATGTATATTCCTTTTATTTCTTTAATACCTTTTGTACTGGCTAGACATTCAGTACTACATTGAAGAGAGGTAGTAAGAGTGAATATTCTCACCTTGTTATCTTAGAGGGAATACTCAATATTTCATTACTTAGTGTGATATTAAGTATAAGTTTTTCCCATTTTTTTATTGTGTTGAAGAAATTCCCTACAACTCCTAGTTTGCTGTTAGTTTCATGTTTATTAGGAATAATAAATGTTGTCAACTACTTCTTTTGCACTATTAAGAAAATATCATATAGTTTTTCTTCTTTAGTCTGTTGATATGGAGAACTGCACTGACTAATTTTTGAATGTTGAACTTATTTTCATTCTCAGGATAAATCCCCCTTGGTTATAATGCATTTTTAAAAAATATTGCTGGATTCAACCCGATAGTATTTTGTTGAGGATTTTTGCTTCTATTTTCATGGTGAATAATTTTCTGTAGTCCTCTTAGAAAATCTATTTCTGCCCAGACCCAAGAAATACAAAAAATCCCAGGTAGAATCAATCCAAGAAGATCCTCTCCACAGCACGTTATAGCTAGATTGATCAAAATGACAGACAAGATACTAAGATTAATGAGAGAGAAATATCAAATTACCTACAAAGGCTATTCCATCAGGCTAACACTGGAACTCTCATGGGATACAACGCAAGCAAGGAAAGAATGAGGAAAGATATTCAAAGTGTTAAATGAAAAACAATTTTAACTAAGAATACTTTACCTAGGAAGATTATCCTTCATATGGGAAAAGAAAATAAAAACGTTCTTGGATAAACAAAACCTGATAGAATTTACCAACTCCAGACCAGCTCTTCAAGAAATTCTGAAAGGAGTACTGTACTAAGAAAACTAAAGATACACACAGCAACAAGAGAACAAAAAACAACCAAGAATATGGCCAACTTAATTTTAGGGATGAGTCTGGAAATATCAATAATAACATTGAATATTAATGGATTACATTCTCCTATCAACAGACACAGGCTGGTGGACTGGATTAAAAATCAGAAATCCTCCACCTGCTGCCTACAAGAAACCCAGCTCATGGATAAAGACAAACATAGACTAAAAGTGAAGGGCTGGGAAAAGGTATTTCATGCAAATGGAAACCAGAAAAGAGCCAGAGTCACTATTCATTATACTGAGTTTGGACAAAATAGATTTCAAGATAAAAACCGTAAGAAGAGAAAAAGAAGGGCATTATATAGTAGTAGAAGGGCTAATTCATCAAGAAGATAAAACGCTTTTAAATAACTATGCACCAAATTTAGTAGCACCCAAATATATAAAGGAAAGACTGCATGATCTAAAAAGAGAGATAGACTGTAACACAGTAATTGTTGGAGATCTCAACACTCCATTATGTTCTTTAGACAGGTCAATGAGACAAAAAATAAGCAAAGAGATCCAGGACCTAAATGATAGCATAAATGAGATGGACTTGATAGACATCTATAGAACTTTCCATCCAAAAAACACAAAATATATATTTTTCTCAGCCCCACATGGTACTTTCTCAAAGATTGACCATATGATAGGGCACAAAAACAGCTTTTAAAGATTCAAGAGCATAGAAACTATATACAGCATCTTCTCTGACATTGATGGAATTAAACTTGATTTTAATCTCAGGAAAAACCCTCAAAAATACACACAAATACATGGAAACTAAATAACCTACTTCTAAATGACTTTATGTCTACTGAAGACATTAAGACTGAAATCAAAAGATTCATGGAAACAAATGGTAATGAGTACAAAAGTTTCCTTAATCTATGAGACACTGAAAAAGCAGTCATGAGAGGACAATTCATAGTAATTAGTGCAAACAAGAAAAAGATGGAAAGGTGGCAAAAGGACAACCTAACATCATGTCTCAGGGAATTGGAAAAACAACAACAACAAAAAGCAAAAGAATGCCAGCAGAAAAGAAATAATAAAAATAAAGCAGAAATAAATGAAATAGAAAATAAGCAAATTACACAGAAAATAAATTAAAGCAAATGCTGATTCTTTGAAAGATAGACAATATTGACACACCATTACCTACACTAATTAAGAAGAGAGAAAGGAACCAGATGCATCAAATTCATAATGAATTAGGCAACATTACAACCGACATAACAGAAACGCAAAACATCATTAGAGGATACTATGAGTGACTATTCCAACAGACAAGAAAGCCTGGATGAGATGGACAAATTCCTGAAGATATATAATCTACCAAGATTGACTCAAGAGGACATTGGAAACCTGAATAAGGATCAGCAGCTGGTGTAATGGCTATGTCGCTAGATTCCCATGTAGTCAACTGTGGTTTGAGTCCCAGTCCTGGTGGCTTAAACTCTTGCTAGGTGTGAGTGCATGTGTGCCCAAGATATGAGAAGAGAATGGAGGAGAAGATGGAGGAGAAGGGATGGCAGCATAATCCCCCCTGGGGAGAGTTCTCGCTTCTGTCTCTCTCTGTCTGGCAAGCACACACACCCTATAGCAAAAACCTCTCAAAAAGAAAAGAAAAGAAAAGCCTGAATAGACTTATAACAAGCAATGAGAATGAATCAGTAATAAATAACTTCCGAACAAAGAAAAGTCTAGGGCCTGATATCTTCACTATTGAATATTACAACACTTTTATAGAAAAGGTAGTTTCCATCCTACTTACACTGTTTCTAGATATCCAAAAGGAAGGAACCCTTCCGAACTCATTCTATGAAGCCTCCATCACCCTCATTCCCAAAATGGATAAGGACATGAAAAAAAGGAAAACTACAGATCTATATCTCTGATGAATATAGATGCAAAAATTCTCAACAAGATACTTGCTAACCATATTCAAGAGCATATAAAAAAGATTATTCATGGGAACCAGCAGTTAGCATAATGGCTATGTCGCTGGACTCCCATGTAGTCGACTGCGGTTCACGTCCCGGACCCGGTGGCTTAAAACTCACACCGGGCACGTGTGTGTGTGCATGCCCAAGATCCCGAGAGGAGAATGGAGGAGAAGGGATTGTGGCGTGGCCATCACCCCTGGGGGGTGATTTCTCGCTCTCTGTCTCTATGTCTCTCTCTGTCTGGCGAGCACACGCGCCCTATAGTGAAAAACCTCTCCAAAAAAAAAAAAAAGATTATTCATCACAACCATGTGGGCTTTATTCCAGGGATGCAAGGGTGGTTCAACATAAGCAAGACCATAAATGTAATATACCATAGTAACAGAAAGAAAGATAAAACCCATAAGATCATTTCAATTGATGCAGAAAAAGCATTTGACAAAATACAACATCCTTTCATGATTAAGACCCTCTGTAAAATTGGCATAGAAGGATCACTTCTCAGATCAATAAAAGCCATCTATGAAAAACCTATAGCTAACATTATACTAAATGGGGAAAAGCTTAAAGCTTTTCCACTAAAAACTGGAACAAGAGGGACCAGCAGTTAGCTTAATGGCTATGTCGCTGAACTCCCATGTAGCCGACCACGGTTCAAGTCCCAAACCTGGTTTAAATTCATACCAGGTGCGTATGCATGCATGCCCAAGATCCCGAGGGGAGAATGGAGGAGAAGGGATTGTGGTGTGGCCATTCCCCCTGGGGGGTGTTTTCTCACTTTCTCTCTCTCTCTCTCTCTCTCTTTCTCTCTCTCTCTGTCTTTCTGGCGAGCGCACACACCTTATAGCAAAAACCTATCCAATAAATAAATAAATAAATAAATAAATAAATAAATAAACAAACAAACAAACTGGTCTGAAACAAGGCTGTCCACTTTCTCTGTTCCTGTTCAATATAGTACTGGAAGTCCTAGCCAATGCGATCAAACAAGAGAAGGAAATAAAAGGGATTCCAATAGCAAAAGAAGAACGGAAATTATCTCTGTTTGCAGATGACATGATTGTTTATGTAGAACACCCAACAGTATCCACAAAAAAAAACTCCTCAAGGTAATTAATGCATACAGTAAAGTGGCAGGATACAACATTAACTTACAAAAATCTATAGCATCTTTATATACAAACAATAAGCAGACACAGAACTGAAGAAAGTAATCCCGTTTACCATAGCCACAAGAAGTATAAGATACTTAGGAATAAAACTAATCCAGGAAGTAAAAAATCTCTATAAGGAAATCTATGAAAACCTTAAAAAGAAAATAAAAAATAAAAAACACAGAAAAGTGGAAGGAAATCCCATGTTCCTGGATTGGCAGAGTTAATATAATCAAAATGGGATGCCCACCCAAATTAATCTACATATTTAATACAATCCCTATAAAATTACAAGAGACATTCTTCACAGATTTCAAAAAGACAATCATAGAATTTGTATGGAATCATAAAGGACACTGAATCATCAAAGCCATTCTGCACAAGAAGAGTAGAGTAGGGGACATCTCACTTCCTGACCCCAAAGTATATTACAAAGCTGTGATAATCAAAACAGCATGGTATTGGCACAAAAACAGACATGAGAACCAATGGAACACAGTAGAGACTCAAAAAATAAACCCCAAATCATACATCTAACTCGTCTTTGACGAAGAGTACCAGTCAATCCAGTGGGAAAAGGAAAACCTCTTTAGCAAATGGTGCTGGAAAAACTGGGTATCCACCTGCACAAAGATGAATCTGAACTTCTATCCATCACAATTAACAAAACTCAACTCAAAGTGGATCAAAGTTGTAAACCTAAGACCGTAAATGATTAAACTTCTGGTGGAAAACACTGGGGAAACTGTGGGAGACATTGGGATTGGTCAAGACTTCTTAAGTAAGACCCCCAAAGCACAGAATATAATCCCCAAAATACACAAGTGGGATTACATCAGATTAAGGAGTTTCTGCATAGCAAAGGACACTGTCATTAGTGTGAATTGACAATCCTCACAATGGGAGAGAATTTTTGTTGACTGTGGCCCAGATAAGAGACTGATAACCAGAATCACAGAGAACTCAAGCAGCTTACTAGGAAAAAAAAGATGAACCCAATTAATAGATGTGAAAATTATCTAAATAAACAACTCTCTTAGGAAGACATATGAATAGCCAAAAAGCATATGAAGAAATGTTTAACATCCTTTATCATAAGGGAGATGCAGATTAAAAACACTTTGAGATACCACCTAACCCCAGTCAGAATGGCAAAGATTTAAAAAAACAAAAAAAAGATAAGTGCTGGAGGGAATGCGGTGAAAGGGGAACACTCCTACACTGTTGGTGGGATTGCAAATTGGTCCAGCCACTGTGGAAAACAATATGGAGGTTCCTCAAAGACATTCAAATAGAACTACCATATGATCCAGCAATTTCACTCCTGGGTATCTACCCAAAGGACAGGAGAATGCTCAATTGGAAAAGCGCTTGCACATCTATATTCACTGCAGCCTTATTCATGATTACTAAGACATGGAGCCAACCTAAATGCCCATGAACGGATGAATGTTTTGAAAAACTATGGCACATATACTCCATGGACTACTATTTAGCCATAAAAAGCAACAAGAACCCTGAAATTTGATAGAAAGTGGACAAATATGAAAGATTTGTTGCTGAGTGAAGCAAGTCAGGCTATGAAAGAGTGACATTGTATGTCTCCACTTAACATATACCGGTTGTCAGCACTCTATGGCAAAGACTGAAAGACTGAAGGTCATACAAGCATTAAAAATTGTTATGGACACTAGAAAAACAAACTTAGTTGGATTTCAGTTATTTAAAAATCTGAAAAATATGGTCTATCTTGGTTAATGTTCTCTAAGTACTTGAAAAGAATATATATTCTGATGCTGTTGAGCAAATTCTGTCAATATCAATGAATTCTCATGGATTTATAATATTCTTCAGGTTTTATATATACTTAGATGTTTTCTGTTTGTTCCATAAACTATTAAGACAAGAATATTGAAGTGTTTAATGATACCCATGGGTTTATCTTCTTTCAGCTCTATCAGTTTTTGTCTTGTATATTTTGAGACTCTGTCATAATGTGTATATATTTCCACATTTTAAAAAATGTCTTCCTGGTGAATGAATATCTTTATTGAAATATAAAGGCACTCTTCATTCCTGATGATATTCTAGTCACTTTGTAACATACATTATTGTGACAAAATAAAGCACTTCTCTGGGACGAGATCACTGATATATTCCTAAAATGAAATTACCATCTTACCCCAAATATGCATAATTCATTAGAGTATGGCAAAATGAGAATTGTTCTACTATTAATTTCAAAGAAGGGTCATGTAGTTAATATCTTATCAGGCACACGGTTATTTAGGAAGAACAAATAAAACATTAATGTGTTAGTTAATATTGCAACTCTGAATAAAACTTTCAGTATTATATAAGACAATTCTTGGGAGAGTACGAGGGAATATTTTTGTCACACAGCAAAGAATTTACTGGATGTAGTTGTGGCATTGCTACTCACAATTGGTGTGGTCTTGGTCAAACTATCTAACTTTGCCCATGTTTCTTCATTAGTATATAGATATATTATACCTGCCTTTCGGCAAGATATGAATGAAATGAGGTACAATACAAGTGAGTTCATGGCACAGAAGAGATGCTCAGAGGATGCTCATTGTCTTTCTCAAACCTTGCATGAGTAGATCCTAGGCTTTTTTTTACCCCCTAAGAATGTTTTACTCTTACCTTTAAGGATTCAGGGAGGCTCTTTATCAAGGACTTTTCAAGCATCTGTAGCACCTGTGGGTTCTGCAAATGGAACATCTTGGCAGGTACCTTAACATAAAAAGAAGATCAAAAAGCATCAAGGAATGAGAAGAAGTGCAAGATGTACAGACATACTGGGTACTTTAAGTTAATGCCATGTTACCCATTCCTGTTATTTCATTATTGACCTTAGACCTAACTCTAAGAAAGAGTAAGACTGGTAGAAAGCACAGTGCTCCTTTAAAACATTTTAAAAATTATTCCTAAGTGCATTCACCAAGAGTGTTTTCAGGCTCACTTAGCTGGAGATTCAAGCTGCTGTTACCAGTAAGCTTCAAACACTGCAATCAGGTAAACTACTAACTACACCACAGAGGCTGGGCCTGAAATTATTTTTAATGTTTTTCTTTCTCTAGTTCTCTCTCTTTTTTATTTTTTATTTTTTTGTTATTTTTAAAAATTTATTTTGCCATAGGTCAATGTGTACTCACCAGAGAAGGTAAGTGAGAAATCACCCCTCAGGGGCGATGAGCACATTACCCTTCTCCTCCATTTTCCTCTCAGGATTTTGGGCATACACGCACACATGCCTGGCATGATTTTCAAGCCAACAGGCCCAGGACTCAAACAGCAATCTGCCAAGTGGGAATCAAACAACTTAACCACCATGCCACCTGCTGGCTCTGGCTTTTAAACGTATTTCTAAAAATTTTGTTTTTATTTTATACTATGTGAAATTCAAATAGTGAAGAATGCACTGAGATTAACAAATCTATTTTCTAAGCCTGCATGAGCAGCCTTTGAGTTTAAATTTCCACTTATGACAAGTCCAACTGCCATTTAGAAGTTTATGACTTCAGACAAGCTTCTCTACTCCTCGGTGCCTTGGTTTCCTCTTCTGTAAATTAAAATGACTATAGTACTTACTTCACATCGAAGATGACACAAATAACCAACACCTGTGCAATGCTTAGAATAGCATCTGGACCTAGTAAGCACTCAGTTAGTGACTATAATTTTTATTAGCATATAATAGTTGTACATATTTATGAGTACAGTGTGATTTTTCAATATATGATTATAATACATAATGATCAAACCATAGAAATACACATAGTCACCATACTAAACACTTATCACCACTTTATGATGTGATCATTTGAAATCCTCTCTTCTAGCTATTTTTAAATATACATTGAACTGGTATAAAATATTAGTTATTATTACTCTTCCTATTGTTGTAATTAGCAAAACCAACAGCCTATATATCCTACCATCCAAAACCAGTCCAGTTTGTGATTTATCTTCTGCACAGCAATTTGTAGATTAGAAATTAACTGAAAAGGATTAAAATGTGGGTAATCCTGACAACTGGAAAGTGGAAAATGAGACACTGAGTTTTAAAATCTTTTTTTTTTTTATTGAGAGGATTTTGTTACAGGGTGCGTGCACTCACCAGAAAGACAGAGAGACAGAAAACGAGAAATCACCCCCCCACACACGGCGGGGGGATGGCCACACTGCAATCCCTCTTCCTCCATTCTCCTCTCGGGATCTTGGGCACACATGCACATGCGCCCGGTCGGCTACATGGGAGTCCAGTGACATAGCCATTATGCTAACTGCTAGTCCCCTGAGTTTTGAAATCTTTAGTAGAGCCCTTGACTTAAGTAGTACACAATAGGCATCCACCATCTTAATTACTGCTGGCATTATTACTTAAATAAAGCATAGCCTTTACTGCTAATAGAGTAAAAAAGAAAACAAAACTTTTCCTTGAGCCCTCATATAGGGGTTATAAAAATAGTGTAGCGTAGTATTGCAAAAGCTTTTCAAAGCTCTTCAGATTCTTTGTGTTATTGTTCTTCACCTCTTCTAATCGAGGCATAGTTTTATACAGTAAAATTTGCCATTTTAAGTGGATTATTTCATAAACTTTCATAAATGTATACATTGGTGTACCTAGCACCATAATAGGGATATAGACTACTTTCAATATAGAAAAAGCTTAATTGTATTTCTTTGCAATCAGTCTTCTCTGATTTCCAGCCCTAAGTAATTGCTAATTGGATATTTGTTAGTTCTTATACTTATCCTTGAATGGCCTGTCAAATAAATGGAATTATTTAGTATACAACTTTTTGAGACTAGTTTCTTTTATTTCCACTAGTTTCTTTTATTTCCACAAACTCAAGTTGCTGTATATTCTCTTAATTCATTCCTTTTAATTGCTGAATAATACTTCGTTGCATTGATGTATTAGAGTTTAATCTAGCAAGGTGTTTAATACAAGGTTGTTTCTAGTTTTTGTGATTATGAATAAATAATGTTGCCATGAGTATTTATGGACAAGTCTTTGTGAGGACATATGTTTTTGCTTTTCTTGGAGTCCATTTGCAGGATCATATGATAAATATGTTTAGCTTTATAAAAATTGTATCTGAAGGCTGCACTATCTTACATTCTCATGGCAGTGTATGAGACTGGCATTTGATCTGCATCATCTCCACCACATCCACAAATAATGTTTCATATGTAGCCATATTTAGGAATCATTGATACAGTATGCAAAATCTTCAATCATACCTTTAAATAAATATGACAAAATATTCGTAGAGCCAATTCTAATGGTAGGTCAAAAGTTAAAGCAAGCATCATTCAGATGTTGGCCAAGGAAAACAAAGAAGCCTCCCCCATGAGACTGCACTTAGTGGGAAAGGTCTTTCCAATTTCCTATCTTATAGTAGGTGGCAACCTGTGGTCTGGGCAGCTGTTACAAACAAGACATTATTATCTGTAAGGAAAGGGACCATGGAATTCCCATCTGTAGGGGGACAACTCAGCTTTAGCTTTTCGCTCTTTCTTCCTTCCTATCTTTACATAATCTTTCCAATCCTTGAACATTGAGATGACCGAAAGAACATAAATATATATTCTGTGCTTTCAGTCTTGGTTCTCAAAGATTCCCTGATTTTAGGGAATCAGGCAGAAGTCTGCCTAATTTTCCTTTGATGTTAGCCTCTTTATACACTTCCCTCACTGCAGCACCTCCAGACTCCTCCCTGGTCACCATCCCTTCTCCCTGGGTGCCATCCCTCCTCCCAGGGTAATCCAGTGATCTGGGTAGACTGCTACTCACCAGCAGCACCTCTTCCTCCTGTTTTTTCTGGAAGTGCAGAGAAATAGACTGCTTCCTGAAGCCCTCAGGGTCATAGATTGGAGTCTAGTTTTACTTGAACTTCATCAGAGGCGAGTTCTCACCGCTGTTGCTGCTGCTGCAGCCACCCACATAGGAGGCCCTCCACACTACCACTCTTCCCAGGAATAGAGATGATTGCAAGTGAGGGCTAGGTCAAGTCTTCAGGAGAGAAAGAAAATACACACACACACACACACACACACACACATATATATATATACATATATACATATACATATATGCACACATTCTGGAAACAAGAATAACTTGACTTTCTCCTCTGCAATTTGAATGCCACTTGTTTTTTTCCTCTAATTGTTCTAGCTAGGACTTTTAACACAATGTGGAATAAGAGTGGTGAAATTGGACATCTTTGTTTTACTCAGCCTTTTAGAAGAAAAGCTTTCAACTTTTTTCCATTCAGTGTCATGTTAGCTGTAGGTTTGTCATATATGGCTTTTATTGTGTTGAGGGATGTTGCTTCTTTAACTAATTTGTTGAGGGTTTTTATCATGAAGGGATGTTGAATTTTGTCAAATGCTTTTTCTGTATTTATTGAGATGATCATATTTTTTTTTGTTTTTTGTTTTTTGGAGAGGTTTTTGCTATAGGGCATGTGTGCTTGCCAGAAAGACAGAGAGAGACAGAGAGACAGAAAGTGAGAAATAACCCCCCCAGGGTGGATGGCCACACCACAATCCCTTCTCCTCCATTCTCCTCTTGGGATTTTGGGCACACACACACACACGCGCGCCCAGCATGAGTTTAAGCCACCAAGTCCAGGACTCGATCTGCAGTTGACTACATGGGGGTCCAGTGACATAGCCATTACACTAACTGCTGGTCCCCTTGATCATATGGGTTTTGTCTTTCCTTCTGTTGATCTTATGTATTGTGCGTACTGATTTGTGTGTATTGAATCATCCTTATGTCTCTGGGATGAATCACACTTGGTCATGGGTGTATATTCTTTTTGATATGCTGTTGGGTTTGGTATGCTACTATTTTGTTGAGGTTTTAAATTATGTTCTTCAGGAATATTGGTTTGTAGTTTTCTTTTTATGTGGTATCATCATCTGGTTTTGGTATCAGAGTTATGCTAGTTTCATAGAAAGTGTTTGGAAGAATTATCCCCCCATTCAATATCTTGAACTACTTTAAGAAGAACTGGTATTAGTTTTCTTTTAAGAGACTGGTAGAGACCCAGTCATGGTGATAGAGGAAGTCTGGGTACTGCTACTTGATACTGGAGGCCATTTGGAAGAACTCTCAGCTTTGGTCCTGAGTCTACCTGAACATACCAGGTATTCACTTGAATGTGCCTAGGGTTCTGGCTGGCTGCAGTACTTGGGGAGGACTGTGGCATGAAGAATGTGCTAAATATGCCCCTCTCTCTCTCTTTTCAGACACAAATAAACTTACAAAAACAAAACAAAACAAAACTCAGGCCAGGCCCATCCTGTGATGGATACTGAACTTGAGCTCTGAAATATTGCTTCCCTTGAGTAAAAATGAAGATCTTCTGCTGAGACTTCTCCCTCCACATTCATTTCTAGGGGTCTTTTCTCACTAAGTTTATAGAGAGGTCCAAATGAACAAGATCCAAACATCTGAATATGATTAGGGTCAGAATATTCCTCTATGCTCACTGAATCAAAGGGTGAAAAAGGAATGGAAGAGAGATTAAAGATCACCTCCTTTGGCACACCTTTAAATGCACAGATTGAACATCAAGAATTAGGAAGAAACTCATCATCCATGAGATGACTACAAATCACCACAGAGTCACAAGGAATATGGGAAAGCAAGAAAATACATCTCCTCCAAGGGAAGAGAATAACAGATAGTACAATGAAACTCATAGAAATGTCTGATAAAGGATTTAGAATATTCATAGTGACAAAGCTAGCAGAGATGGAAGAGAAGAGAGACAATGAACTGCAGAAAAGGCAGAAGAAAGGAACAGATGAGTTCTAGGAGGTAAGGAAATTCTTGCAAAATCTGAAACAGGAAATACACACTATAAAAAATAATCAAATGGACCTATTAGAGATGAAGGCTATAATTCAGGAAGTCAAAATCTCCCTTGAAAGTATTAAAAGTAGATTAGATCATACAGAAAAATCAAATCTCAGATGTAAAAGATAGAATTGCTGACCTAGAAAAATCCACCTGGAAAACAGAGAAAATTGCCCCAAAAAATGAGAATAATATACAAGAAATGCTAGATACCATCAAATATCCAAATATCTGGATAATTAGTATCACAGAAAGCAAAGATTTATAAGGGCATTGATAATCTATTCCATGAAATCCTGCAAGAAAACTTTCCAAACCTAGGGAGGCATTCAAAGATCCACTCCCAAGAAATACAAAGGACCCCGAATAGAATCAACCCAAGAAGATCTTCTCCAAGACACATTATAGCCAGATTGACCAAAACCACAGACAAAGACAAGATACTAAGATTGGCAAGAGAGAAATGTCAAGTTATCTACAAAGGATATTCCATCAGGCTAATAGCAGAGCTCTCATCAGAAACAATATGAGCAAGGAAATAATGGCAAAATATATTCAAAGTGTTAAGGGAAAGGCAATTTCAACCAAGGATACTATACCCAGAAAGATTATCCTTCACATGGGAAGAAAAGACAAGAACATTCTCAGGTAATCAAAACCTGAAAGAATTTATCAACACCAGACCAGATCTCTAAGAAGTTCTGAAGGGAGTGCTATAACCAGGAAAATAAGAGACAGAAATAAGAGTTCGAAACTAAGAAAATGGCCACTTAATGGTAGGGACAAATCTGGAGTCGAATATTATATCCCTGAATTTAATCGGGAAGATCGAACCACAACAGAAGTAGATTAGGTACATGAGACTGAACTGGTGAAATAGCATTTTATGACTTTTGACTAAAATATTGCTGATTTTCTTCTAGGCTTTGTTTTCAAGTTTTAAGGATTTTTTTTTTTCTGTCTTGAGCTGCTGATAGGTTCATGTATCTACTATTTGAATAGAATCCTAACCTGTTTCCTGGCTTTAAGCTTCAGGCAAAGTTTCTTAGCATTTCTTTGATAAAACGGCTTTTCTTGAAATTAGAAAATATATTTAAAAATACCTGTTTAATGACCATAGTAAGCTATATAGCATCAGCAAGGTGCTACCTTATAGTATATTCATTATACTCAGACTTTCACACCTAAAGTCAGACATGTATTCACAGATATGTATATATCAGCTGAACTTGCTCTTGAAAGTATATATTATTTAAGAAATTTTGTGAATCAATAAAATGTGTGTGGAGGAATGGAATGGAAAACTATAGTAGACAGCTGAGATAGTATGGGAAGAGGGTGAAATGGCAGAGGGTGAGCAATAGGGGTTAATATATATATATCTAGAAATAGAAATTATTGACGATAACATGTATGATTAAGCCACTACGCAGTATATTCTGGATGGAAAATCACAGTTTGTATGCTGTGACGATGCTCGGGGAATGAATGTAAATTAATTAATTTAAAAAAATGTTTCAGAAGGAAAAAAAAGACTAGGGAAGGGAAAAAAAAGATCTGGTTGAATTCGGCAGGAAAGCCATCTAGTTTTGGATTTTTTTGGTGGTTGAGAGACTTTTTATTATTGATTCAATCTCCCTATTTATTATCAGTCTATTCAGGTTTTCTATTTCCTCCTGAAATCTTGGTCGATTTTATGCATTCATCCATTTCCTCTGAGTCTTCCAATTTGCTGACATAGAGTCATTCATAATAGCTCTAGTGATCCTTTGTATTTTTTGTTATTGGTTGTTATGTCTCCTTTACATTTCTGCTTTTGTTTGACACTTGTCTTTCTTTTTAAAAATCTATTTAATGGTGTGTCAATTTTGTTCATCTTTTTGAAAAAGAAACTTTTTTGTTGATCTTTTGTATTTTTTTAACTCTAAATTTTATCTATTTTAGCTCTGATCTTTATTATTTCTCTTTATTACTATTTGGGGGTTTCATCTTTTCTTGCTTTTGTGGTTCCTTGAGGTATGCTGTTAGGTTTTTTAATTAAAATATTTCTACTTTTTTATCCCCTGGAGACAGGATTTCACTATTTTGCTTTAGCTGGTCTTGAACTCCCAATCTTCTTACCTTAACATCCTTAGCTGAAACTGTGGGTGTGTGGCTTCATACGCAGCTCTTTCTAATTTTTTGTTTTGATAAAGGAGTTTATTGCTATAAATTTTTCTCTTACTACTGCTTTTCTATAGGTTTTGGTCAGTTGTGTTTGTATTTTTGTTCATCTCAAGAAATTTTAAAATTTTCTTTTTAATTTCTTCAGTGACCCATTGGTTATTCAGCAGCATCTTACTTAATTTCCACATATTTGTAAAACTTACAACCATGTTATTCATTTCTAGGTTTATATCACCAGGATCAAAAAAGACATTCAATGTGATTTCAAGCTTCTTATATTTGCTATGACTTGTCTTTTGGCCTAATATATGATCTACTCTAGAGAATGTTCCATGTGCAGTTAAGAAAAAACGTACTTTCTATAGCTGTTGGAAGAAATGTTTTGTTAGGTCCATTTCCTCTAGAGTGGAATTCAAGTCCAATGTTTTTTTGCTTGATTTTGTCTAGATGATCTGTTCATTCTAAAAGTGGGGTATCGAAGTTCCCTACTAATATTATATTGCATGTATGTTTCTCTCTCTCTCTCTCTCCTCTCTCTTTCTCTCTCTCTTTTAGAGATTTTTGCTATAGGGCATGTGTGCCTGCTGGAGAGACAGAGACAGAAAGCAAGAAATCATTCCTCAGGAGGGATGTCCACACCAGAATCCCTTTTCCTCCATTCTCCTCTAGGGATCTTGGGCATGCATGCACGTGTGCTGGCATAAATTTAAACCACCAAGTCCAGAACTTGAACTGCAGTCAACTATGTGGGAGTCCAGAAACATAACCATTACACCATCCACTGGTCCCATATATATTTATATCTTTAGATCTAATAAATTTTTATATGTTTGGGTGTTCCATCATTGGATGCATATATATTTACAATTGTTATATACCCCTTTGTTGTCATGCAATGACCTCATTTATCACATCTTACAGCTTTTAACTTAAAGTATATTTTATTGATATAAGTATA